AAAGGTTTTTCAATTTAAATATGATGAGTCAAAACATACTATCAGCTTTAAAACATCCACCACAAACTCAGAAATCGCCAGGTACACAAGGGCATGACCTCAGTGTACTCAGCTAGAAGAGATGTGTCAATAAAATACACATTATTTGGGCCAACAGCATTTTCACACATTTCAGCCCACAATGTGTTAACTGGGTCTGGATGGATTCATGTGTTCTCTCCAGAGTGGGGCAGATGTGTTTATTAAGATTAATACACATGTAAATGTGTTTGAAATGATCATTAAAACGATTCAAAAACATTAAATAAAGAGACAATCATGAAGAAAACTAATATGGCAGAAAATATAGAAATTTCAAAGGACTAACTAACAGCTGTTTCTTGTCAGCCAATCACGGCAGCCATCTTGTTCCTCACGCTGCGTCTCACTGCTCTTTCTTTTCATAGCTGTCTGTCTGTCTGTAAGGGAACGTCGCTGACATGAAGACGCAACGTAAGTTACGTTTTTATTTGAGTGAAAAAAATGAAACAATTTTCTAAAATTTGTGAAGCCAAGTTGCCATGGTCACTAGTGATTCGCAATTTAAGTTACTGTTGGTTTAGCGTTAGCTCACCAGGCTGGGTAACGTGATTTTCTTGGTAACGTTAGTGTTAATATTAAGTTACACTTTTATTACTCCGAAGCAGAAGAAATATTCAGCTATATAATAGCGGTTTGCAGCCACGAGCTAATATTAATTGGCCACGGGCTGAGCACCTCGGATGCTCTGGGCGCGTGCGGTGAGCGTGATCACGTGACTGTCACAAATGTTAATCATTGCACTCTTTCAAAGGCACACAAGTATAAACAAAGCTTTAGTGCACGAAGCGCAGTCTGTAATTATGTAATGTTCTGGTTCCCGCTCCTCGGGCCGGTTTCCAACTGTTTTCATAAATTGGACTTTCGGATCGAATTGATCAAATTCTGATTGTAAAACAAGCCATTTAGATAATTTAGCAATCCACTCCCTATGTGCATATGTAGAGAGCTTGTCATCAAACAAGTTTTGTCACTTTTGCAGGGTCGACAAAAATGGTAACACAGACTGTTTTTGATAAAGAAGAAGTATGTTGGCGATAACGCATGCGTCTACATTATGAATGATATTCTTGAGGGTGTATCCTCTTTTGAGATAATGTTACACTACATTTAGGAAGTGGTTAATTAAATGATTTCCAGATTTGACCGAGTATGGAAATCTGAGTGTTATTCTCAATCTGAGAACTTCTAAAAAATACAGTTAAGCAGACTGCTTCACAAATGTGGCGCCTTTAGCAGGTTTTACCCTTTAGTTAGATGTGATAAGTCAACATCAGCATTTAATAATTTTGCAGAGGGAAATACGCAGCAGTGTTTTTGCACCCATTGTTACACAAGGACCTGCTGTGTTCCTGAAACAATATCGAGACATTGTAGAGCACCACACATTATTATGTTTATTAGTTACTTTATTATCAGATTACTCTTAATTGTCATCCACTTGTCCCAACTGTTAATGATATTAAAGCACGACAGCTTTTGTATTCAAGTGTTACCCTAATGTTTTTTTTGGGACACGTTATCCTAATATACCTAATTTGTGTACCTTGTGTACCTAGTTATTAGAATATTTTTTTAAGGAAGCTACAGTTAATGAGTTTTAGCTTTTATACATTTTCATGTGATTTGGTACTTAATACTTTGTATTTTTACACTTATGTGTTCCGTTATGTACTTAACATTTTAAGCAGAATGAATAACTACATCTTTTAGATCTGTCTCCCTCCATTTTAAATGCGTATTAATAAGTTTATCACAGTAAGGTGTAGCATTAACACAATAACTCACAATTTTCCATTACACATAAACAACACGTGTTGAAATATCACATTTGTATGTTCACTTACCTGACACAATTTCTGTTTTAAAATTGCAGAAATTGTATAAAAAAGCAATGTGTTGAAATTACATTTTTATTTTGTCAAAATCAACACGTGTTGTCCCTGAACACTCACTCGACGCGTTAACATTCTTGAAAACATTTTGACATCTCTAGTTTGCTACTCTGTGACAAAATGATAATTATCACAAAGACAAGAATTTACCATAAACACCCATTCAATTAAATGATTGGCTTGCAGTCTGTTTATGTTGCTTAGTTTGTTTTTTAAAAAAGGCCAAGAATCTTTTTTTCTTTTTACTGCTCTGTTTGGTCATAAAATATGTATTATGTATGATGAATGCTCGCATTTTACACTAAAATTAGACAAATCACCATAGATAGGCGAGTAAATGAAGGAGTAATAGTAAGACAAATGACAGCAAAATGTGACAAGAAGTTATTTTCAAAGAAATGGAGCTACAATACATTAAGGCTAAGATTTACGCAGTGTGTTCACAAGTGAGTTACACACACACACACACACACACACACACACACACACACACACACACACACACACACGCGCACACACACACACACACACAGGTGGTTTGGCACAAGATAAAACCAAACACTTTTCACCCTGAAAGAGCTGTCAGACAGGCACCCAAGGGTACTGCATCATTCACTTTCCACACTGGTGAGTCCATCATCTGAAGTCAGTTAAAAGAGCCTGTGGCTGAGTTTTTGTGTTTAGTATGACATCTTGTGGTGGAAATTAGCATTTCAGATACAATCCTTTAGGATTTTATGACGGAGTTCAAGTAGTAAAGCACATACTGTGGTGTATTTCATAATAAGTTAAATGGTTGGGTATAGCAAGATATGCCTTTCACAGATGTTCTGAATACCTTCACTCTAGTAAATTGCTGTAAATTTATGGTGGATTTACGACAGTATCTTACAGTATTTCATAATGACTATAACACACTGTTAAATATTAATTATTTGCATGTAAATTAACAGGTAATGCCGTCAGTTAACCATAGCAGCAGATAACCCTAATTTATCAGCGTAATACAGTGATTTTCTGTGAAGTGGTGGAAATAGCTTCCATAAATTCAGTGAGTCACTATCATCAACATCGTACTGTTGATTGTAGGCTAATGTTTCTGTATGATGATAGCACATTTGTATTAATCAAACTGCTCAAAGCTCACTAATCCTGTTTGAGTGACGAGATGTGAGCGGCTGCTCGTGAACGTGACTTTGGACTTCACAGCTTCAGTTCATCCTTCTGAGCACGGCCATGTGGAAGATCAACCGAGGAGCCGAGGTAAAGTTACACTTATCACCGTAAACTGACAGAGTCCAGTATTGTTCTGTCTTCATGATTATTGAACCATTATCATCTCTAATGTTTCATTTGGTCTGTTTCGTTACATCAGGTTGCTAAATTTGTTGAAGCAAGCTCTGTAACGTCAGCTAGCTCGAGCTCAAGTAACGTTAAGCATAGCCAGCAAAGTTAACGTTTGTAAAGTTAATTGCCAATTACAATGTGAGGATGCAATGTTGATTACCTAACTGTGTTTATTTGTGCTACAATAGAGCCCACTGTAGAACTGCAAACCAGAAGGAACGGGATGTTCAAAATGCAGAGGAGACCTGGAGTTGTCAAAGTGTGTCTCTAAGAAGATGAAGAAGTGAGAAAGTCAAATCTTCTCTCACTGTTCGCTCTCTTTCCTCCATCTCTTCCCTTCCTCCTTTTTACTGTCATGTAGTTCATGTAGGTCACATTTACATGTGTAAAATGTCTGTGTAATACATTTTTTTCTCAACATAGAGTGGCTCTTCAGTTTTGTAAGACAAATGTTCCCAATATTTGTCTTACAAAGTCAGCTGTATAAATGATTGAGGACTTGTAATAAACTACAGCACTATTGTATATGAATTATTGTGTTTAATACTAATAGTTCTGGGGAATTAAATGCAAAAGTAGAAGATTTTATTACCCGTTTAAAATATGTTAATATGTATTTTTTATTTCCAATAAAAATGTCAAATTAATGGATTGGGCTTACTAAAGTAAACTCTTAAGAATCAGTATGAAAAGAATGTAATCTAAAAGTTTACTGCCTAAGAAACTCATCTTTATATTGCCTATTTAATGGCTTTCATAATTTGCTTTTAAAAGCCTGTCACCTCTGTCTGTGACTGTAATTATTACATACTTGGTGTGTGTGTGTGTGTGTGTGTGTGTGTGTGTGTGTGGAAATAATGAGATACTCACTCAAAATGAGAATGTTTGTCATTATTTTGAGACACCAAGTTAAAATATTGAGATACTAATTCATTATTTTAAGATGCCAATTCATTATTTTGAGATGCTAATTCATTATTTTGAGATGCTAATTCATTATATTGAGATGCTAATTCATTATTTTGAGATGCTAATTCATTATATTGAGATACTAATTCATTATTTTAAGATGCTAATTCATTATTTTGAGATGCTAATTCATTATTTTGAGATGCTAATTCCTTATTTTGAGATGCTAATTCATTATATTGAGATACTAATTCATTATTTTGAGATACTAATTCATTATTTTTGAGATAGTTTCTCATTGTTATGATTTACAGGATCTGTTTTTCCAACAGAATGACTGAAATGGGCTTCCGTATGTAAATATGCAGCAGTCATCGACTGAATGTCGGCTTGCTCTGTGGTGGATGATGGGAAATGTAGTTTCAAGGCTTTGTAAGCGTCACCATCCTAAACATCTAAAAGAGAACAAAGTGTTAATACGAATATTGAACTGGTCTAAAATACATAAAATACTGGACTAAGCAAATGTGGTGACACTTTGCTCTGGATTTCTTCACGATTGCCCCAAATCAAAAGGAACTACATAAAACTGACTTGAAATCCCAGAGTGCTTTGAGAGTTGAGTGCTCCTTCTGGTAGTTGTAGTCCACACATCAGGATCGTTTCCGTGTATCTACCTTTCGTTAGTGTTAGGTGGTGGAATCTGCTCTGTAAAGACAAACACATGTGTTATTGACCAGGTAGGGCAAACGTTTTATTCTGCCGGCTCCCGCCAATTGAACCTGTCGATGTGATTAGAAATGTCAGTTTATTTCTTACGTTCAATCCTTGTTTTGCCCGTTAATCTCGAAGCTACAACCAGTGTGCACAATCAGCGCCTACATGGCGATGCATTTCCTTTTGTTCAGCTAGCTTAATGTGTTGAAATGCACGAGTCAAATCCTCAGAAATGTTACTCATTTAACACAAACAGTTACTGAACGTATCTATTAACGTTGGCTACCCGGCTGTTTACCATGTTAGACTCTCTGTAGACACACATTCCCCACGACACTCGACACGTAAACATTTAGTCAGCTAGTCTTTCTAAAGTTACACATGTTTTGCGATACGGTTAGCTGTGTAAATATATAACCTGTAACGCTAGTCTATATTAGCATTGAGCTACGTTAGCTAGCATTGCATGTTGTTTACATCCGGTACTGCCGGTCTGTTGGCTCATTTGCATGGCTGTGGTTGACATAGCTCAGGGCAGCAGACCTGCTGAGTAACATTAAATCAACTTAACACTATTTTAATTCATATTTATTAAGGTTAGAGAATAATTTGAGCGTGGCAGCTGGTCATATTGGCTAACTGAACTGTCTTGTGTCTCGCAGGGTTGTGTGACTTTATGGAAACATGTCAAAGAAACGGGGCAGGTAGGATCACACAGTCTGACAAAACTCTTTGACCCAGATGTATTGTATGACTACTTTTATATGCACGTAGCTCTACACAGCAGGACATATTCTACTGTGGTCTGTGACTCCTCTTCAACAAATATTACTTTTAACATTAACTTTATTCCAAGTGTTTCTAGTTTTCCTCTTAAATTCAAATCACAGCCTAGTGGCTTTAAACTTAATATTATTCTCAAACTGTTTACCATCGTTAATACTATGTTCTTGCTTATTTCAGCTCTTGAAGATCACATCACATTTACATTGAGTACAATGAATAGGTGTTTGTAATACATACCTTTATTTCAAATATAGTATGTGGAGTCTAATGCATTGCCACATCATAACCACTACACATACTATTGATATGTTGAATTAGTCTGACTAGTCCTACCTATGGATTAACAAACATTTTAGCTGTGATTTGACAGCACCATTCGCACAGATAAAGCTATATTAGTAATGGCGTGTGTGAACACACTAATGTAAGGTTGGGAAGATGACTATACAAGCTGTAGTATGAGGCAACAGGACCCGTTTGGCACCCTGAATGTTTAAAAAAAGGCCTTTAGGTCTACAACTGTTACACACTTACCTCACTCCCTCCACGTTCATAGGAAGCGTAGCAGTGGAGAGCTGAGTGAGAGCTCGGCGGCAACCCTGAGCCCAGACCCTGACAACCTGCTCGGCCGAAGGATTCAGCACAGCTGGAGGGAGAAGGGTAACGTGACCAAGTGGAAAGGCACCGTTCTGGAGCGCCTGACTGTGAACAGCTCCCTCTACATGGTCAAATATGATGGCTTTGACTGTGTGTATGGCATCGAGCTCTTCAAAGACAACCGGGTGTCCAACCTGCAGGTGTTGACAGAGAAAGTCGGTGAGTGTGACAACGTCTATCTCTAATTATGGACACATCTTGTGTTTTTCTCATTCTCTTCTAGTGTGGTAAATATCGTTGCTAACGCTAACTACACAGTTCTTCTTCGATTGTTGTGGCTGACCGAACCATGAAACGCATCACTTACTTTGTGTCTTAGTATGAACGAACGGGTTTTAGAAAGCAGCAAAATAATTAAGAAATGGGTAAAAACTTGAATAAATAACCCTTACAGTGTGAACACTTCAGCCCAGTCGATACTGGACTTTTCTACGGAGAAGAATAATTAGTTTTATCTGATATATCAGTCAAACATTTTTCTGGTTAATCTATAACATTTGTCGACTTCAGTGAGCTAATCTATAGCTAACATTAAGCAAAACTGATAGTCCGTTCAGGAGTATTTGCAGATTTTATTGGTGCTTTGTCAGCATTGTAAGATAATATGTTATTTGAATGTCCTACTATACAGTTTTGCAGTTACCAGGCATTTCAAAGTGTCTTCTTCCCGTAGTGAACAATAAGATCAAGGTGCCTCCCGGGGCGGAGGAGCTGGTGGGCCGGGCTGTGGAGCATCTGTTTGAGAAGGAGGATGGTGAGAAAAACGAGTGGCGAGGCATGGTGCTGTCCCGAGCCCCCATCATGACCCACTGGTACTACATCACCTACGAGAAGGACCCGGTGCTCTATATGTACCAGCTGTGGGACGACTATAAGGACGGAGATCTACGTGTCCTGCCCGAATCGGGTAACGTAAAAAGAGATTTAGTGTTTGTATCCATGAAACTCTGAATGTTTCACATTTCACATCCTCTAGGAAAGGTGGGAGGAAGAGGGCAGGACAAATTTACATAGTCAGCATTACGGAACACTCCAATCTGTATGCTGCCTTCTTTTTTTTCTTTTTCTTTTTTTTTAGCATCATTTTCTGAGTTTCTGCTTGACTCAATGGTCAGAGAGTCCTGTTATGGACACTCGTGCCTCATCATGAAGAGACAATGCTATGTACAAGGAATTAGAAGAGACAAGAAGAAGGGAATAAATAAAACTGGAGCAAGCATGTTTGGTAGAGGACAAGGTTCAGCTTCAAACTGCAGATACTTTACTTTCTTAACCTTGCTGTTTGTTGTCTTTGCACATTTTTCAACTTGGCTGCTTATTTTATTTTTTTATTTCTCTGACTTATCTGGCTGTATATTTGTCCGTCACCCAGAGAACAAACACCTGCTGCCAGCAGACAGGAAGCCAGGTGAGGAGCCAGAGAGCCTTGTGGGTAAACAGGTGGAGTACGTCACGGATAACGGTCTGAAGAGGACGGGCTTGGTCAGCTACCAGGTCCCAGCCAAGCCCACGGTGTACTACATCAAATATGACGATGACGTTCACATCCACGTCTATGATCTGGTGAAGACCACCTAGTAGTGACTGTCCCGGATCATCTACAGCTGACGGCTCATCTGTGACCCGACCAGTCGTTACCTGTGAAAGTGTTACAGATTTTAGTTTTCCTCCAGCGGGAGGCGTGTGCCGAAGATTGAAAGCCTTGTTTTTTGTTTTGTTTTTTTGGCCTCCACTGGCTTCTTTCATTCTCACATCTTCAGACATTTTGTTTTTTTGATTCTGAGTGTTTTAAGGCACAATGAGTACGATTTGTCGGTTGCGGTTTGTAAACAACATTAAACGTTGGCCTCTCCTCCCTGGCTCAACAAGGGTTGTGGTGCTTACCAGATTCACTCGCCTTTTTAAAACGTCTTTGTTCTCTTCGTATTTCGCATCACTATTTTGCGGGGGGGGCGGGTTTCGGCGCTGTGTCTGCCATTTTTGTAGCTGCTTCCTGGTTGCGTGCTTACGATCTGGCACCTGGTCGGTATGTTTTTATTGAGGTTGATGCCCAGAAAGGTCCCAACATGAAAAGCAAAGAGAAAATACAGGCAAAGGGAAGCAGGGTCTCTGCAGATACAGACACTGCCACACACTCCTCATGGGTCATAGGGTGATGATTGTGAGGGATTGTTTTTGTTTGAGTCCATACATCATGTTTTCGGAATATCCTACTCATTGTGCTTTTAAGTTGACCTTAATGTATGACTTTTAAGTCCTTTTCAATGTAAATAAAGCAGATGAAATGGAACTTTTGTTTTGGTTAAATCAAACTTGTATATTGCAACTTTCAAACTCCAAAATCATACCTTTTGTAAGCTACACATCGAACTAAAAATAATTCAGCTTTCTTACCTTTACCTCTGTGTTTTACTCGTATTTCATTTCACTTTTATATGTCTGTGCTATTTATTTCTCCTGGAATATCCGGCTGTGCTGCCGGTAACTTGTTGTTAAAACTTGCCTGCTGTGCTTTACGTGCATCACTGGGTAGGTCCCAGTTTGACCAGTGTGCTAATTTCACCACCACAGTGAAGTGTTTAGGCATTGATGCGTCTTGACCGTCTCACATCATGGATATCAAACACAGATCATTATAAAAAGTCATTCATCATATTTCTGTTTCATCATGTAAATTGCAAGTTTTCTACATTATGATAATATATAAAAAATACTGACGTTGATGTTGAGTTGTTTCAACTGTGTTTGTGTGTTTGTGCTACACACTATTTATGTAGTTGAAATTGGCTCCCAACATTGTTTGGAATTTTGGACTCTGACGTCTCTATTATTTACCAAAAAATGAATGCTGTGATACAAAATATTCAAGCCCCAAAATATTGTTCATTGTGACCCTAAATATGTTTTCTCCTGTTCTGTATATATAATTGGAGACATTTTTATGAACTTGAAACAAAGCTGCTTGAAAATTATTTTCCTGTTGCGTTATTTTTAAATGCCGTTTCTGTCGTGGATATTTTGTTTTCATTCATGTGAATCAGTTCTACAATACATTAATTCAATCAAATAGTAAGCACATTTATCAGATTAGTATATTTTTAACCCTGTGATTGTACTGTCTGAGGTGATATTGCCTATTTAATGGCAAGCGACACATAACTCTATAATTACTAATCCAATGCTCTGGCCATATGACCTGCAGTTGTATGTCTATCTACACACTGCTGATATATTGGCACAATTGATCCATTCAGAATGTAAATGTATTCGACTTAAATGTAGTCCCATGTGCATATTGACCTTGTAACTGAACGTGAAATTCCCCTCTTTATAATTACTTTATGAGAGACGTTTGTCCATGATCTCACTTGATGCAGTGAATACTTGACACACAGTGAATAGATGCTCTATGTACATTTTGTACAAAATGTTGTTTAAATGCAGAGCTATTTTTTCTCCAAAGCTACCGTCTTCATCTTTCAAATGCAATGCATTTTAGCCTCCGGCTTCCCCGAAACACAGTCTTGTGTTATGAACGCTATACACATGACGGTACAAAAGGTCTTATATCACATTATGAGACAGATATAACAACCTACTTACTAACTTAAATCAGTTAACTCCTACAGCTCAGGTGTGACTGTGTTTTTGAGTGTCAAAACATCTTTAATTGCTAAGAAACAGCTCAGTCAACCTCCCTGCACAAATACATGTAAACAAGAAAAAGCACTGGGAATGAGCGAGTTTATTTGTTTGTTTCCTTTTCATGCTAGTGGCCTGTGTGGTGGACAGAAACGATCACCTGTCTTTTTAATTTAGCTTATTAATTAAACATTTGGATTCTGACATTCACTACCATGATTACCAGTGCGGCTAAAACTGTTGCACGTTTTAAAGGCGCTCAGATAATAATGGTTAAAAACAGGCGATTACACATAAAATAAGTGTAGCAAGCAGAATAATCAGTGATGTGTGTCATGCTTCAAAAGGTTAAGTAACTAAGGATTTATTTTGACTAAACATTTACCCTCTTGCTCAGCTGCTTCACTTTTCGTGCAACCTATTTTAATCAGATTCCTGATTAGCTTCTTTATTTAAAGGCCAATAAAATCAGGGGGACATAAACGATTAGCTTGCACAGTTGATGATTCAGTTTCAGAATCATCTAAATCTCTTTTTGAACAACAGTAGACACACTGTCTAAGCTAAACATTGCCACCCTTCATTATTTTGTAATTCTCATAAAGTGGGCTATTACTGAAAAGATGCGGCGCACAAAGGCCGCTATTTTGAAGTGAATAGCTTTCCCTTCTTCTCTGAAAGCAGCAGTTATGTGTCCCACACAACAGTTTATTTTTTTTATCATCAAGAAAAATACATTAGAGATGACCCTGCTTAGATGTGTGTAATTATTTAATGCCAAGCACAATCTGCCATGAGGTGGAGCTTATGCATCATAAAAGGGTTGATGAGTGTCTGCTCATCAAATGTCAGTCCCACTTTGATGACCAGCAGACATGTTCTCCCCGATTCCTGCTCCACCAGACCACCCATGCAGCCACATGCTGACTACCGACTGCCTCTCCCTCCCCCAGAGCCCCTCTGAGGTGCCAGGGTGCTGGTGACAGGTGCCAGTACAGACTGCGGGGGAACAGTTGGCATACCGTCACGCCAGGATCGGTGCCCAGATAGTAATGACAACGAGGAGGGAGTACACATGCATTACACAAGAAGGTCTGTGCTCTCGAGAATGTGTCTGATGCATTTTGTCACCTGTTGTGCACTTCCTTTCACACAGCCGTTACTATTTTCTAGCATTTTCTTTCTTTGTGAAAACCATCAGCCTGGACACGTGGTGACTGCTTTCATTGTTCAGACATGTCGGTGAAACCATCTCTTCTCACAAGGCCGTAGCTTTGACTTTTGATACATGGCAAAATGGGATAAATAAAGCACCATGTGTGCCTGGTTATGGCTGTGATGTGTGATTCTGTCCTTTGGGGCCCAAAGGACTGGACAGCTATGTAACTTTCTTTATTAACAGAACAAAGCCATTCACTGCTGACCACCTCAGTGGTTTTTAAATATATATAGTTTAATTCAAGATTTTTTTTTTTATGTTCTTTGGTGCTTGAACCAACAATATATCGACCGCCTTTTAATCTCTTTACCAAACAGGCCGAGAGCCGTCTATGAGCTCTGTGAAGACAGAAACCTCTTAAAGCAAAACTCTATTTATACTCGCATGAAAAATGAATCTATGAAAGGCTGTAGCACAATTTTTTTTTTACTCTGTGAGTTACAATATTACAGGACCTTCTGCGAAAACCTTGAAACTTTGTCTGCATTCTTATTGGCTAATAAACAAATGCACTTGACTCTTTTGTGTTGCTTAGCAACGCAAGCCAGTCCCTGGTTTTTATATATGAAAAGCCAGCATGCCGCAAATCTGGAGACCTACAGGGTGCAGTGTGGATGAGACCAGCCACGACGCACATTTAATTAAACCTTGCAAGCTTTTCTGAGTGGAAACCGGCTGTAAGCATGGTCTGTTATTAACGGGGGATAATGACATGATTGATTTCTAGTGTCAGCGGAGATAGAGATGACTCGTCATTCAAATTATACATGTAGCTTTCATGTCAGCTTTGGATTTCAATGATGGTAAATGGAACAATCTTTACCTTGCATTCATCAGACAACATTCAACGTAAATATAGCTCTTAAGATTGAGCTTTTTTCCATTTGCGGTGGGCTTGACTTTCTGTTGTAAGCACCGTTTGTCAAAAATGGGGATCCTGTGAGGTCACTCATGCAGGTATCCTGGGGGAGGAGAGGCAGATAGATTATATGTGTGTTTAAAAAAAAAATTGTCTGAAGCCTCAGGTCTTTATTTCATCCAATCTTTTTAATTTCCATTTTCTAAGAAATAATTGTCTTTACCTCCACTGGTTTTTATATGTTGAACCACAGCTGGAAGAATTTGACATAATGCTGAAGCATCGGGATTTGATGTCTTTCAGTTGTACATCTGAGTCTGTTATATACATTTTTTCCGGTTTGAGATAAATTTGCTCATATTTGTGAATACGGCATCAGAGCAGAGAGCAGGTTGTGTGAGCGTGCCACTCAGACTTCTTAGTGAGTTGTGACTGTAGATATCTTTATATTTGCTTACGTTTGTTTACTGATATTAATCAAAGCTCCAAATAAAATACCACAAACTGGCAGCAAAGTGTAAGAAAAAGAAAACGTACAAAAAGGATGGATACTGTGTATAAGAGACTCATTCCCTAATTACTTCTGATCCTAATGGGCCCTTAGCACTGACACTATGTTCACACTAAATGTTTTCTTCAAAGCATTGTGTTAATCCCCGTGCAGGAAGTCAGGTCAGCCTCCCAACACTTATTTTAATTAGGATGTTTGCCTGCATAGTTTGTTCTGTGATATCTTCAACATTTGGTGGCATTAGACCTAAGTTGCATGCATTCATGTATTCTCACACCACCATGAGGACCTTTGTTCACCTGGTCACTCAAAACTCATGTGAAAGAAACTCCCTCTCTATGGGAAGCAAGCGCTGTCTGTCCATTACAGAGACTGAGGCAGTTGCTGGAGTCCACAGAGGGATTTAGAGCCCACTTATTGATGGTTGATGTGTATTTCTTCCTCTAAGTGCTCAAAGTGTTGGACATAGTAGAGCGTTAAGTAAAGCTTTCTGAAGCAGGCCATCTCATCTAACAGGAGTCGTACGTTTGAGTGCAGAATGGAGAGTAGGTAGTAGGACAGGAGACCAGGAAAGACCAGTGTTTTTTTCTTCTTCTTCTATGGTATTTTCTCAGCACCTGGTGTGTGACGTAGTGCACGTGTTCATTTAATGCTGTCATGTTGATGCTGACGTGAGGAAATGCAGAAATACACGTAAAGGTTTTACATCCAGGTTTTATTTCCCCAATAAAAGAATGCTAGATAGAAGTCCAAATGCAGATTAATTAATGAACAATTACATTATTACTAAACTATTTTGTACAAAATGTGCTGATGTATGCCAATATTACGGTTTCTCCCAGAAGTTTTGGAGCTGCTTTCATTGTTTGTAAATCTGTTTCATGAAAAATAAAGGCCCAGTCACAGGGGCGTGCAGGCAGGGATACATCAGAACATTTTAAGTGCAGGTTACATATTGTTGAAGCTGATTAAACGGGAAATCTCCGTTACACTTCCAACATTGAAATGTGAACACATTCAGAATTGAAGAGCCTTGCAGGTCGAGGCTGATGTGGACTGAAGAGCACTGCTTGTGCTGAGAGGTAGACTGGGACTTGTTGTTCTTTGATCAGCTTCACAACAAAATCACTAGTCTTCCACTCAGCACCACCAACACTTTCCCCAAAGCATCCTCTCCTTTTTGTTTGGAGCTCCACATCCACTGCTTCAATCTGTATTAAAAGAAAAAGAGTTGTAACACCACAGGACATATACTTAAGTTGGTGTCTTCCCTCCCCTGTTAAAACATGATATATTGATTCCGCACACCCAGAGTTACAGAGCATTTCAGGATATGCATGTGTCTCAGGTGTTGCAGAGCACCCAGCGGCTAGTGGTGTGTTGACAGGTGGTGAACTTCAAATGTCGGAGATGGAAACACTACATGCAATTCCCATCTCTGTGTTTTCCTCAACCTGTTTCTCTCTGAAGCCTGTTGACATTCCATCCCTCCTTTGTTGTTGTAATGCCAACCTTTCAGCTCCTCTCAAAAGAGGGAGACAGGAGGAGGAGGGGAGGCACAGAGAGGATCACAGCACTTAGAATAAACGTTGTTCACCATATGCAACGAACAGAAGCCCCAAGCTCTGCACAATTTGCAATTACACCCCATTTAGAATGAGAAAATGGAAATGTGAATGCAGGTCGTCAACTCAGTGATATGTGCCGTCTTTCCAATAAGTCTCATTTGGACTGGAAGAGGAAGAGGCAGAGAAAAGAGACAGACGGATTGTCCTGCATCTCCAGTATGTTTCTGAGCTGGTAGCTATGCAACAAGACTGGGAGTCAGTGGAAGAGGGGGATGGGAAGATGGGGACAGTTTAGTGAGAGGAAGGAAGGAAGCAAGGAAGGAGGGAAAGGGGGGTCTGTGAGTGTAAACTAGAGAAAAGAGGAGTGCTGAGCAGAGACAACACTCTATTTAGACCAAGAGGAGATAATCAATAATATTCACTTGAGTCATTTTGCTGTATAGTGTTGATTAAAGACAATTGAAAAAAATACTTTTTTTGCTTCACATTCAAGCATCTGCCTCTCAAAAATCGTCCATTTAGTTTCCAAGCAGCAGGGACATTTGAATGCTGACCATTAGATTGTGTTAATATTCACAGGACACGTTGACATGATTTAAAATGTGAGCTGTAAAACGACGAATAAACCTGTTACTCCGATCGCAGCTAAAGAGAAACGAACCCTTCGACGTGGGAGCTGTCCAGTGTCTCGGTGCTGAATGACGCCCTACTTCCTTGCACGTCCATCTCCTCCTCAGCATCTCGGCCCGGGAAAAAAAAAAAAAAAGAAAAAACATGCCACCTGTTGCTGCACCGAAGTTTTCTCTCAGGAGGTTGGGAAGCCAACAGACCTCTGCTATGTGACACATTTAATGTGCAGCGGCCCTGCTCCTCATCTAAAAGTAAGGTCACATATCTTTTATTTCCTCTCTCTCTCTCTCAAATCACGGCAACATGACGACATGATAAACATTCCCTCCACCTCCCAGGCGAGGCAGGAAGAGGAGGAAGGGATTGTCATTTAATTTCCAGTAGACGCCGTCGGGATTTAAACAGCTATTCGTTTTTTCCTTTTATGACTCGGAGGCTTTTTTTTTTTTGCTTCATCATATTTGTTTTTCAATCCTGAAGTGCAAAAAAAAAAAAAAAGAGGAAAGGTTGTGGAGCGAGAGACAATTCAAACATATGAATATTTGGCAATTGAATAGCCTATAACATTGCATTCGCTTAATATAAGGAGCAGGACAAAGGCTGTAAGTGGTGGACTTACCGTGTGTCGATGAAAACAACAGGTGACGCCGACACAATGTTGTGCCGCGTGGGCTGGATGAGTAGACACGGCTGCGTCTCTTGGACTGTTGGGTGGTTTTTCTGTTGAAATCAGCCACGATCTGGGGCTGTTGCGCCCTCCCATCTGAGCTCCGTGTACTGGTTAACGTGATGTTACTGGGTAGGCTAGGGGAAGATGGATCAGCGTGTTTATATATACGTCTGCTGCCCGGAGAAGACAGCGAGGAGGCGGGACAAGGTGGAGTGACGACTGCAAGGGGAGGCCAATTGACGCTGATTTTTTTTTTCTCTCCTCCAGACCTTGTTAAGGGTGCGGCCCAAAACCAGCAGCCAAATTATATTATATGAAGGTCTAGGATGCATATGAATAAAACATGGGGGGTTTATGCATGTCGATGGAGCATACCTTTCTATTTATGGACTGATGGTTAAATCAATGCCGTTTTCTAACTTTAAATTAGCGCGTGAATTTTAATCTGATCGAAGAAAAATCTCTCTCACACACACACACACACACACACACACACAGACATAAATACAAATTAAATTGAAATGTGTCCCAAGAGTGCGAAATACTGAGCACCGTGGGGTAAGGAGCTCAGAAGTAATTGAATTAAACCTGAATTGTGCAGATCAAGATTATGTATCAAATTAATTGGTGCGGGAAACAACAAGAGTAACGTTACATACCTTAAGGGCAGTGGAAATTGTAATTGGTAAAATTAATTGCTTTGGAAAAAAAACGGCTGGGCTGAATACAATTTACTTTATCATCGTGTGCAGATACATTCACACATTGAGTTGTACATGTTTAGTTTGAGCCCAATTTATCTTTACTTATCTTATCATAGCTGTTCGCTTTTAGCTCACATAAAACACAAACATCACACACAGTAACCACGCTGGGACATAAGACAAGTGGGAAAAAACTTAAAAAGGCCATAGTCACCCATAAAACCTTCATGCAACCTTCAATAATAATAAATGGTTAAACAAGCATTCCCAAGAGGATCCATCCTCATCACAAACCAACTGTGATGTGTACCATTGTATGCATTACAGTGTCTTATGCACAGTATCAACACACTTATGGTGGATCTGATCTAATGTGTCTAATTCATTTATATTATTGTTTTTGACCTCCTTATTTAGGCTTGTATGGTGAGTGATTTAAATGTGCAAATGTTGTACTTTTAAGAGTTTGAGTTCAGTATTATTGGTATAATAGTATTAGATTTTTTTCATCCAGTACAGGAAAACTGCTAAACAACGATGACCTATGTGCTGATGGAATTTAAACTTTTCTGGTCTATGTAAGGATTGGATTATCTCCTCGTGAATTATAATTCACAAATATAATAATTGTCAGCAAGCCATGGGTTATTAAGAAGCTATGTCAGCAGTTCGACACTTAGATGGCATCTGCCTTATGAAGGTATGAGGAACCAAAATGAAAGGCTGTCACCATGCAGCAATGACTTGAAAACCAATGCAAAAGAAATCTGTTAATAACTCCATGTGAGTCTAATGGTTACGTGTTGCCAAGTCTATATTTTAGAGCTCCATCTAACAAGTGTTTCCACTTTGATTAGAACATTTCAAAATATATTCTTACCAAACAACTTTGGTAAGAATACTTTACTTCGCAGTAGTCTGCTGGGGGAGCAGCATTTGAGCCGGAGGCACCAACAGACTTAACGAACTAGTTAAGAAGGCCGGCTCCATCATTGGCTGCAAGCAAGACTATCTGCAGGTGGTGGAGAGGAGGACACTGAAGAAACGATTATCCATATTGGATAACCCGGACCACCCTCTCCACCACCTACTGCAGGGACAGAGGAGCACTTTCTCCAACAGACTGATCCAGCTCTGCTGTCACAAGGACCGATACAGGAGAACATTCCTGCCCACTGCTATAAGACTCTATAATAAATCACTTCTGGCCAGATCATCATCCTTCAAATGACTACAACACCGCTACATGGTTGTTGCTTGTTGTTGGTGATCCTTGCACTACTGTTCAGTTTTGTTTTTTTATTATTCTATTCCTTCAAATTCAATATCTGCTCTGTTATTCTATTGTACTGTATATATTGTGCATTTCCATACGTTAGATTTTATTTTACTCTGTAAATTGCTGCTGCTACGAACTAATTTCCCCCTGGGAATGAATAAAGTTTATATCTATCTATCTCTCTAAACTGGAACCCATTTATTTTATATAAGGAACCTCTGTATGTTTGAACGTCCTTAGCATAAAGTAAGAACCACTCATCTGATCTACTTTACACAACGTGGTGTACTGCTGAGGACCAAAGGGAGTGCCTTGTTGAATTTGGTTATATTTGGACAGAGGACACGTTCAATGTTAATACACTTTGAATAAACCGGGGAACAGGGGCGGACTTTCAGGGCTTTGCACGCTCGAGCATGTCGTCAGCGGCATGCAGACGCACATTGAATGAAGTTTACTTTGGCTGCTGGTTAACTTTACAACCGAACTTTACTTCTCTGGAGTCAAGGAGCATGAGTGGATAGCCTACACAGGAAACCTTTTATAGAGTCTATAGTTTTTTAGTAGAGTAATAACTTTGCCCCCGGCAGCATGAGCCGGGCTTGGCCGCCTGTGCCACTGGCTAATCGCGTCTGCACTTCGCTTATACTAAGGTTACTGCTTACAACCATATACTGTATTCACACAATCCCGACCCACGACATCATCACGGAAGCGTACAGCACCCACCCTCATGCTAACACTGTTAGCTCTGTCAGCACTGATCCTGCGGTTAGCACCGTTAGCTGGCTGACCGTCCATGTTTTGAGTCGTGTGTGGAGGCAATCCGAGCCAAGGCTGACTGAATCATAGATATACTCTGAATTCAGTTCAAAACTTAGTTAATTGTAAAACCAGTGTTTCTGACCACAATTAACCGTGACTTGGGTGTATTTTGGGGCGGATTTAGTGATTTTTGGGACCCAGGCAAACGTCCTCTTGCTTGACTTTTCACCCTTTCTCTGACTGGGAATGTTGCTATTTGCAGCCGTAGAAGAAGTTCTCTAAACTTTCTTTCCTTAGTAGAATTATTGATTATTATTAGTAAAACTATTAATACCACAGTTCAAATGTTCACTTCAGTTGAAGAGTGAAAGAGAGGCATTATCAGCACAAATGTACTTAAATGTACTCAATGCCTGTGGGTGGAGCTTTTGTTTCTGATATAAAACTGGGTAGTTTAATAAATAATATTAAATCATATTATTGATCAGCAATCATTGATATATTTTGTATTAGTAGTATGTCTTCCTCTGAAGTAAAAGTACACAGTATAGTATACAGTTGAGTTGCATATTTTGAAAGTGTTTTGCGGGGCTTTTGTATATTTATTTCGGGGTATGAGTTAGAATCGTAACATTATTCAATAGTTTTCATATCTAAACATCATAATCTACAGCTGTTGGGGGCCCTTTTAATTCTGGGCACGGTGAAGTGTGGGCCTGGTGTTTTTTTTCCCGTGGACCAGAATGTATTTCATTAGTGTATGACTTGAATCACTCTCATGAATTCATGGGCACCGCACTAGTATTAATCAATTAATTGAGTAGTCATCACAGCAGGGCTCGTCATAGTTGGGCTGTGGAGGAACACCCTATCAACCCCCAGTTTATGAATGCAATGGGGCTGCTGGGGTGAGTGACTAGTGTCTATTTATCAATAAGGCGCATGAGTGCCCCCCCCCCCCCCCCCCCTCCTGTGTTCTGAAAAAATTACAAAAGAAGCCTGGGTGGCTGCAGCCATTAGTTCTCACAAAAGCCTTGTTCCTTTGATACCTCTGTAGGCAGTTTATCAATACAACTCAGGAGTCTGGCTTATGGAGCAACCTGGGGGAAGATCCTGCTCTCTGTGTTGTGAGGCTTTAGCTGTATAGGGAACATCACACTCCGTGCCTCTTGATAGAAACATCAGGAGGTAGGATTATGCATATTAGCAATCCCTGTCTGTCCTAACCCTCTGCTTTCAGGGCTTATTGTTAACATCTGCCCACCAAGAGCCACAGACGAGCTGGAAGACTGTGTTCAATGTCTTCCATTCAGATGAGTTATCTGATCACTATAATGGACTATGCATGTTATTTAGATGACATTATAATGGAGTCTGAAGGAGAGAAAAGCTCAGGCTCTCTGGCGTTGAGAGGAGCTGAGTCACAGAGGACTCCAGCACCTGATCTTCATCACACTGAAAAAGACTTTACAAAAAAGACCTTTCGTTTTTTCAGTTCATCTTATTAATAGCCAGACAGTATTCAGTATTAGCCACTTTCTGATATCTATCTGTAAATTATAGCAAAACCACAAGATTGGAAGCATTTAAGGTCCATTTTTCTTCATGTATTTAGACCCCTCAGCTGGTTTTTTTACACACAATGCCAATTCATTAACATGAGCCATCAGGTAAATGTGCCAGATTTAGCTATACAGGCTAATTTTCCTCTCTAGTCCCTGGAAGGTTGACGTCATTAAGCACACAAAACCTCATAAAGAGGGAGTTTGGTTAGACCACACGGCACAAGCAGAGGTGTAGGAGTTTTGGGAGGCGGTGGGCATTCATTATTTTTTCAGGCTCTGGGCGAAATTAGTGTGGGCTGGACTGGTAATATGAAAATGTTCAGACTTGCAGTGAACAAGGTGAGGGAAGCCACAGGAGGTTTTGCAGCCATTAAAAACTCAAATTTTCCATGTGTAACTGAGGATACAATGAAATCAGAATCAATTTGTTGGGATGTTTCACTTTCTGCATAGCGTGTTATAAAGACAGTCAACGGGGCAGGATACTCCTCTACTGAGTGTTAAACCTGATTCTCACCTTCAGCATGCTGTGGTTAAGGCTGATAGTATGGGTGTGGTAGCAGCAGTGTAGTGTCTGCTCATAGGATGGCTCCCTCTGGTGTTCACTTTGAAACTTTAGAAAAACAGATCAATTCGGTGGAGAAAAAAAACAATGAAGACAGATTATTCTGCACAATATATACATGTGAATTATACGCTACGGCTTTCACAATCACTAGAACCCATAACTTTACAGTAGAATGCTACCACTAACAGATAGATGTGAAGTTCTCTCCGTGCTCTTAAAAGGTACGCCATAATTCAAATTAACTTATTTTGGGATCTTCTGACATTGAATTAAAACGTGATATCATTTTTTATTGTCAGCAAATCCCAAGAAAAAAATAAAACCAGCAATGCTGTTCTGTACTTTTCTGAGTTCTCTAGCCTGCGCGTGGCATTCAGCCTCAAGCCCATTGGTTCCTTCCCAAGATGTTGATCGTTCAAAATTGGGAACAAATATGTGGTTTCTTTTCTTTTTGAAAAAGGCAAATCATTTCATACAACAGCTGGGCACAGTAGTTTTTAGCCAACTTTTAAAGGTGCCATTGATAACATTCCACCAAGAGATGTTGCTCTCTCCCTCCCCTGGACCATTGCATTCACTTCACAACGTCACTATTGGCTCATTAGCCTTGTTAGAAGCGGCAACCCAACGTTAGATATCTTCCACAGAGACAAACAAAACATTTCTTTTTTACATACAATGTTTTTTAAATGATTAATTCATTACCATAATGTTTTGTGTTTTTTCAGGAAAAGCACATTTCTAAAAGCTCTGTGGATGTTCTTTTAATTTTTTATTATTCGTCTACGTAAAAATGTTCAATCAATATGAGCAAATAGTGCATTTGTTGAGGAGAGAAATACACATTTGGTTCTCTAGTGAATATTTATAGTACCAAAACAGAATTAGCAAAAGCTACAGTGGCCATGTTCATGGTAATGAAGGAACATGTCACGCAGTGCAGCATCGTGGATCATTCCTGTGTGTTTTGTAGTTATGAAGCTCTATAGTTTGGCTCGGCACCAAATACTTGTTTATCAGATCGATTCATTGATCTGGCCCGAGCGAGATAGAACGATACAACGATGAGATCGCCCTTTTCACTTCCCAGCAGCATTTCACTCAAGTTGTTGCACAATAAAACAGCGACGACATAAGGTACAAGATATGATCGTTTAATTGTTGATTATCTCTCAGTACAGAAATATTTCTTTTTAACATTCTTTCTGTAATTCAAGTTTGCAGCATTGTCTTGATTTTGAAGTGGCATTCAAATAAATTTCCATAAAGTCTGGCAGTGAAACTGCCCATCAACTTCCCACAGATATCATTAGTAAACAAACATGCCATTTCTGTACAATAACCTTTCTTCACAACACAAATAAATAGCATTTGTTGAAATGTGGCACGCTCGTCGACTCAAACATTCCAACGAGGAAAAAAGATAATCAAAATTGGGGGAGGGGGGGGGGGGGGGGGGATGCTGCAGATATAAAATTTCTTTTCTCGGATATATAACAAAAATAAAGTGAATTGCATGACTGCTCAACACAGACACGGTGTGAAATAGGAAAAGTGCCTCAAGCTTGAATACCTCAGACACAGCACAAAGCAGCAGCTCTGCACGAGCAGCACTTTCACTCCGATTTAATCCCAAATGTTTTATTGTGTGCTTTAGTTACTGTTACAAACTACACTGATAGACAAAGTGTTTTCATTTTAAATTCACATGCCTGATTTTCCACTCAAGAATATACTCTTATGTATATTGTTACCAAATAAGTATTTTGTTCTAAGATGTCCCACTTGATTTAAAACACTTTTCTTGAGATTAGATTATAAAACTATGAACCAATAATGTTTAATTAACTTAATGTAAAAAATAAATAAAAAGAGATCAGGCCGATTTGTCCAAAACTAGTTAAGCATTTACAGTTCTCGGCTCAGGATGATGTGATCGGTTATCAGTGTACGTGAAACATTATTGTCTCTCAGTAAAATACAAAAAGACAAGTCTGGATTTGTTCTGCAAACATACTCCACAGACCAAAAACTGCAGTTACACACATAAAAGAAAATCGACCAGCCTTCAGAACTGGTAGGGATACATTTTTAAAATGTTTTTAAAATACCAAAAAAAACAAAAACTAAATAAAATAAATAAGACAAACAAAAGGACAAACTCAATATTTGGCAGGAAAGCACAATGTCAGTCTGTAAACAAAACATTATCACACATTATCTCCTCGTCATCAGAGATCCCCGGTCTGTTGGATGAGCCAGTGGCTCCATCATTAAGGGGGAAGTGGAATACTGTACATGCGTATCTCCTCTGCCCTCGACACTCAGGCTGTGCATCTCTCCAGCTCCCTCCCACCTCCAGCTACAACTTGGCTAAATAACTAAGAGCGCTCGAGGGGGGCCCTCTGCAGACTACTGAGGTAAATACTCAAAAGAAGAGGCCCATTTACAGTTTGATACATGCAAAGTTAAATTCCTTTCCCGGCGTTATCCCCTGGTAGTAGAGTGGCGCGCTAACTACCGGATCCTGGTGAAGAGGTTCAGCACTGACACGGATTCCTAAAACAGGGAGGAAGAGAGAAGAAGGCGGAGGTGGTAAGACAAAGACCACTGTGAATAAAACCTTACAGACGGATAAAGGTATAGAACAGAGAACGGGATCTTCAACGTGAAATGAGAAATGGAAAAGGATAAAGACCTTAGTGGATCTCATCTTGCTAAAGACGTTCCAAAACCGAAGTGTTTCATCTCCCGCTCCCGTCACAATGGCCTCTCCGTCAGGGGACATGGCCTGCAAATACACTCCATTATTGTACACTGAATATACAGTATTATAACAGTACAACGTCAAAGTAATCAGGGGTATTTATTGGGGTTCTTTTGTGGGACACTTAATAATTTTACTTCATTTCCACACATTTCGATTCGTTAAGTGGTTTGTGATTTAGGAGAACTTTCACCAATTCTCTCGTATTATGAATTTTCTGAGGTACAAATATAATTAACAAGTCGTCCAGACCTGTCGTAGTGGTCATGTGCAATTAATCTGCTGTATCCAATTTTAACTAATGGATTTTATATTTCATTACTTTGAAGAAACCCTACATAAACTATACTTTAACATTGGGATGACATCATCCTGTTTGACCCTGCTACAAACATTAGTGCTAATATAATTCTAAATGTAATCATATAGCCTAACAAAATCACTAATAATTTAAGTTGGCGAATTGTTGGCTGTATAACAATACAATATGAACATGAACATCTCTAACTGCAAAACGACAAATTATTTGGCCTCCTCCCGTTGATCGATCACCTTGCTGGGGCGAGGTGTTTGTATATCGAACCTCTTCTTCTTTATTTCAGTGACAGTACAACCCTCAGGTGACCTGGCAGTAACAGCACCTGCTTTTTTCCCCATTCCTTGGCTTTAGCAGGTGCCTTAATTCTGCTGCTGACACCGTTAAAAATTATAAGCGTTCCTTTATGTAGCAGGGCTTCAATACAGGACATACGGGGCCGGATGTGTAGCCTTACATTGTATTTTTGTGTCGTTAATTATGCTAATTGACAATTCTAATGAACGCACGCTCATTTACGCACAGGTGGCATTCGTCATGTTTATGCTGTCTAAAGCCGATCGACTCGTACGAGCCCAACGTACAAAAAAAAAGTAAAAGAAAGTTGAGATAAGAATACGAAAATGTCCTTGTATGTGGCCCATTGTTCTGCAGACAGACGCACAAATACACAGAGTATGTACTGACCAGGTAGAGTACTCTGTAGGAATGTCCAGTAAGTTTAGCCACTTGAGTGAGAGAGGGATACTTCCACACCAGGATCTGGTTCTGGGAATAACCATGTGTGCTGACCTGCAGAAAAGAGTGTTTTTCACATATTCACCAACACACTCAGGAGTCGCCTCAGTTACCATAGTGTGCAAATAGCAACTTTACTATGGAAATAGAACTCATAAGAAGCTGTATGATTGGCTACCGTAACTCACCAGTTCATTGGTGTGCTTGGACCAGGCCAGGTTGCAGACCTGAGAGCCGGTGTCTGTGCACTGTAAGGGCTGGCCAGTCAGAGTGTTCCAGAAGCGGATGCAGCGGTCGGCGGTGCCGCCTCCGGAGGCCAGCAGGCCGTGCTGGTGGGGAGACCAGGCGATGGCCTTCACTGCAGCCAAGTGCTCCGTGTACTGCTGCACCGGGAGGACGCTCGAGTGGTTCCACACAAGTAGCTACAGACAGCAGGTTGAGACGAGGGGAGAGAAATGCGGTTTTATGAGAAAAGTGGTCCTGATACTGACGCGTGGCTCACAGACAGGTGAGATTCTCCAACTGCATACCTTGTTGTCATTTCCACCCGAGGCTAGCAGCTGGTGGTCTGTGCTCCACTTGAGCCCGCAGACTTCCTGTCTGTGTCCTTGGAGACGGCGCTCTGACTGGAGAGGCGGGGCCCTGATGTCCCGCTGGAGGATCACCCGATCGCGGCTCCCAGATGACAGCTGGTCCGCGTTCCATGCCAACGCACCTGGCAGCAAAGAATGAAATCGAAGGGAAGAGGATTCACCAACCGCGAATGAGAGATGTTGCTAAACAACTGTGAAATGAATGAAGGTTGTAACATCTACTCCAACGTTCCACCTCCGCCTTCGTCGCTCCATCCACTTAACTCACCCACTCTGGCTGTGTGTCCCTCTAGTACGGAGAGCTTTTTTCCTGCTGCTGCATCCCAGATCTGTACATAGCCTTTATGAGTCCCCACCGCCACCAGGTTACCCTAAAAATAGACGGCACACTTTGAATATCATACTCACCAAGAGTCGAAAAATGACTTCAAGACTAAAGACTGAAACAAAGAACGGGAGTTTTACACAGGACCTACACACCAAAACCCCAGTAACTTTGTCACCAACCCTGTGCTTGATTAGTCAAAATGTGAGTTTTTTTAATGTTGCCTGACAAAAATTTGAAAAGATGATAATAGATGACTCAAACTCACCCTCTCGGACCAGCCCACCGACGTTACAGAATCTCCTTCTACAGAAAGATCGCATAGACGTGTCACCTGAAAAGATGGTGAGGAAAACAAGACAGATCAACATGACGTCCAAGAGGCAGCTGAGTTACATCCTAAGACTCTTGTAGTTAATGTGTGATACACAACCAGTGAAGCCTGTGATTGAGAGATCCAGTGTGATGGGAAACATTATTTGAGATGTATTTGAAATGTATACTCTTAGTTCATTTGCCTCGCTGTCTCATTGCTTTGCTTAATGTCAGTGTTGACAGATCACACACACATACACACACACCTGGCTGGTGCAGGCACTCCACAGGTAGACACAGGTACCCAGTCCAACGCTGAGTACATTCAGAGAGGACCAGTCCACTAAGTTGAGGTAGAAGTCGTCCTGAAGCTCTGGAGCATCCAAGACTTTAAAAGGTATTTTGGATATTTTGCGTGTAGGTTTTCTTGGCGACCGGAGCAGTTTCTGGCTGCAATGCACAACACAACAACATGAGGAATACGATGCTACTTTTCCAAAAATGGAAGAGATGGCAATTGAGTAATGACATGGAAAACATATTACCTGTTGCTACTGACAGGTGATAGAGAATATGGAGAGACTGTATTTCCATCCTCTTCTGGTAGAGTCCTCTTCGCACTTACAGAATACTACAAAACACAAAACGGATGATTGCTGATTCAGGATAAAAAAAACCTCCCCATGAAACGAATGCATTAAAGCAGCCACGGTAACTATTTTTACACTAAAAAGGCTTCTCTTGGCTGGAGTAGATGGCTGCAGACGGCGGTCTTCTGACTGGGGGTCCTGGACTTTCTCGATGCCCGCTCCTAGCAGCTCGTTCTTCAGTAGAGCCGAGTAAGCCAGACCGTCCGCTGTAGGCAAAGGAAGAGACAGAGGGGAAATCAAACCGGGCTGACGAAATGATTAAGTTCAAACACGGCTCCCTCTACAATTTTACAGCCCTCTCTCCCATTTTGAAGATCAGAGAGAATTTTTTCACAAAGCTTTGTTTCGTCCCTATCTCCAGCTTCCATGAGCCTGTCCAGGCTTAGTAAACAAGAGACGGTCAAATGATCAACTTTGACTGGAGCAGACAGACACGTGTCGAAAAGAGCTGAAAAAGAGACAAGACTCACACCAGCGTATTTGTCTCTCAGGGGCAGACAGTCATAGGATAACTCAGGAGTGCATTGATGTCATAAACTTTTTCCTATAATAACTTAAGTGTCACAGTGAAAGAAAATATTGTGAGAGGCATCTTTGATCTGCCGATCGACAGAAAATCAATCTGCATCAATGTTGATAATCAATTAGACATTTAAGTAGTTTTTCAAGCAAAAATTCAAAGCTTGCAAATGTCTAATTTCTTATTCTTTTATAATAGTATATCAATGGTATTTTTTTTAATTTGCTGACATTTTATAGACCAAACAAGTAATGGATAATGAAATTTCAGCACTAGCCATCTTCAATACATCACAGTCGCGACGAAACTGAAGAGAAAAACATTGGATCACGATCTATTATTGAAACTTGTCCCCTGACTAGTTTCTGGATATAAAGGTGGATTGATTACCTTTGTTGCTGTCGGTTGTGCCATCTTTGGTTTTTCTGTTTTGATTGTGCGACTTTTCAATTTCCTACATCAGAAAATGGAATAAATAAAAAACCATTGACAGCAATTACAGACGAGCAAAAGAAGAATGACAAGGGGTGAGGTGTTTTCCTTTGTAAGCTATAATAAACACGTTGATCCTGAGAACACTGTTCTTTTGGTAGGAAAGACAGTGAAGTCGTGGGTGTATTGCGACAGGCTCACATTGATGCGGTGGAAGTTGACACTCCAGTTGGCTCCGGCCCGGGAGGGAATAAAGCGATCACCGTGCTTGCTCGGGGAGGACAGGGGGGAGCTGGTGGGTGTCAGAGCCCGCACCGCTCCTACCGCTTTCTACACAAGTTGGGTGAGAGGAGAAAGCATTTTCTGACTGGAGGCCAAGTGCAAACAGGCCTTGGACAGGGATGTGAAAACTTGGTCAAAGCGGGAAGATCATTTAGGTGGCAGATGGTGCATTTGTCTGAGGTGTCAACAACAGGAGGCATCATTCACAAAACCCAGTCATTTTGCTGGTGAGGTCTTGTTTTCACTCAACACTAACGACATCGTCAAAAGAAAAAAGAGAGACTGGCCTGTTAAAACGTTTATTCTGCCAACAGATGGAGAGTAACACCATCTCCTTTGCTAGTTAATAATCCTCTTTGGGAGGCGCTACCATCGTGCAATAGTGGAGGAAACACAGCTCCTTTATGTACAAGTGTGTGTATAATGTACTTACTATGGGGCTCGCATTCTCATTTTGAATGTTGATCTGCCTGAGCAGCCTGCACTCATAGTCCTGATCCATGATGCCTGAAAACAGGTCAAGACTGATCAACACATTTGTAAAACCGTACAACAGTTTCCTGAACGCTCACGTCAGACACTGGGACAAGTGGACACTGGTACTCTCATAGCCATGACTTGCTGACTTCTGGTCAGTCCTGATACTGACAGCATATTCAGCTCATGAATGACTGTTGAGCAAAAGAAATGTCACCATGGAGGGTTTAATTCATTTTGATCTACTTATTATTTTTAACAATATCCAACCAAGAAAAGGAGTATGTTCATATTTAAGAAGATGGAACCTGCATTTTCCAGGTGGCTCATCAATATTTGTGTTATTAGTTTTCTGTAGATCAACTTATTGATTAATAAACTTCAATACGAAACACTCGAGTGTAGTGATAGCCTAACCTATATCTTTTGACAAAATAAACGATCCACTTCACTGAACTGACTACTAAAGGCTGACTGAGGATCTCACTCGTCAGAGGATGCTCCTCCGCTATCGGCCCATTAGGTAAAGAAAATAACAGTACATTTAACTGGATGGCAATGGAAACTTGAAAAGGGGCCTTTAATGATCATTCCTAGATATAACGGTAGACAAACAACTGTTAACTCTCGTGTCTTCATGTAAACCCTACTTAAACTAGCTAACTAGCAGCAAATCCGTTCGTAAACGACAATGACAGCAGTTACAGTAGTTACATGTGATCAGTCTTTTGCCAACAACATTAACTAACGTTAGTTCACGAAAGAAACTTGTAACGTTGACTGGAGGTTTTAGCTTGCTGGTTACATGAAACAACAAACTCGGGTGTGGTGGTCATTGTCGGTCTGTAATCGTGACGCTAAAGTTATTTAAAAACCTTATTATTCAGTCACCCAGCATACAAAGCTTTGCTAACGCTAGCTCAGCTGCTTGACCTAACGTAAAACACGCTAGCGGTCCGGCTAATACATTAGCAACGTTGTTTGTTCACAATCTACTCTTTCATTAACACCCACCGTGCCCGGATTAAACCGTCCCGTTGCGCACCGTTAAAGTGTTTTTCTGTGCGGTGTTAATTCCAGTGGAAATATCTTGTTTTGTGCGTTTGACTCTTTAAAACAGAGCATGCAAAAATACAATTGTTTTCTTTTGCCGATCGTTCAATTTGGGCCCGCTAAGCATCACGGGAAGGATGTGACGTCGCTGTTTTTTGAATCACACATTTTGCGTTGCTAAGGAAACGTGTCACTCTCGCGAAGACTGGCTCATCTTCAGCAGTTACGTCATCTCGTTTTGTTAAAAAAATAATTGTATAGCTAAAACATGATCCATTAAAAATATTAACCTTGCAAGACAAAAAGCAATTAACATGAAGCTAATAGCACAGCTTAATGTTTTACACATCAAATGAGTTTTAGCTGCTGATTGTCAGTCACCTCATTGTGACATATAACATATATTTAAACTTTATTACCGTATCTTATCACATCTTGATGACTGATTTGTCAAATGATCCACTGAACCGGCACAACTGAGTTTCATGATAAACTGGACACATAGTGTCTCATGGTGTGGCTTCTATGCATTGAAGGTGACGGTCATTCTCAATCTGTGCAATGGTCTTAGACACACATCGCAGCACCATTGCCAGCACATTGTTGGACTGACCATTATACACAAATTGACAAATTAATTCTAGTTAACAGATGACAAACCACATCGATTTGCAGTATCTTTCAAATGGCTTTATTAGTAAAAAAAAGAGATGTAAGTGAAACACATATAATCTAACATGAAGTAAAAACAGACTAAACACATTAAATGTGCAAAAGCTTAAAAATAAAGACACATTCAACAACATATCCTGTTTGTGAACTCTGGACTGCTAGTGAACTGACAAAGTAGTTGGTGAGATATTAAAACCACGTCAAGAGCCGGGTCCAACAGCTTACCTAGAGGAATCTCATTCAAAGTGCCACAGAAAACATACAGTAGATTCAAGTACAGTACTGAAATTCTAAAAAAGAAACCCAACAATATGTGCAAAAGTATAGTTTTTAAAAGTAAATAGTCTAAATGGGCTAGATGATAAATATATATTGGGATAGCTAAAAAAAAATATTTCTTTTAAGCAAAACTGGAGTAAATTGTGTGGCTCAACTCAGCAGATCGAAGGGCCCATGCAGTTCAAATACTGCTTACGTTTTTTTCTGAATTGGGCAATGATCATACGCTTCTTCAAACAGCTTTTACATTTACTCGCTCATATTACGAACAGTCCTCAAAGAAAGTCACAGCCGCAGCTCTACAGCACAATTACATTAAGATCCTCTCAAATCACACTAACAGGACAGTATGTCCAGTATAAAACATGTTTTAAACTGACAACCAAGTAACTGAGAAAAGGTCCGAAAATGATACGGAAAATTACATGAAAAATCCCCTAAACCGAAAATAAGAAAATGTCAAGTTCAACAGTCCTGTGTTACCTGTAATGATTGAGCTTTGCCGCAGATACTGAGCTATAACATGTGCATAACAATGTCTCTGTAAGTCTGGAGACACACTAAATACATTCAGAGCAGTGAAGATCTAAAAAGCATGTGTGCTTATGGTAATGCCATGGCTCTCAAAACCAGGGAGGAGAGATTGTTGGAATGGCAGGGTGAACTAAAATGAAAAGAGAAATGTCCATCTGGACACCGGTCGCTGGTCTACAGGGAGGAAGTGTCCCTCGGCAGGAGTTGCAGGCCGTTGTTGACCTGGAAGCGAGTTTCGTCCGATATACCGTACTGCTCCAAGGGGTCCTGTAAGGAAGGACATAAGAGTAAAGAATGTAATAAAAGCAAATTCCCTGTTATTGACGCAGAATCAAACTTTATATTTTAAATGTTTAGTTTGGGTTTTGATATCTTTGAGACTTCTGCCTCCCTCACAGTACAATTTAGGTGAGTGACATTTAATTACTGGCTCTTTACATTACATTTAACAACCTCAACAACCATATTTCTTCACAGACTTTGCTATAAACTGTTTTTATTGAGAGTATTAGCTCATGATATTCTTTCTGAAAAGAAATATTGCTTTTAAGTGTTTCTAACGTACTTAATGTAGGCTTTGAGCACTGCAAATGAAAGCCCACATATCTCTATTGTTTTGGGGGGTTGTGGCATAAATCTCAACAGCAAAACCTCATTAAATAAAACTTAAACTTCTGAATCTTCCTACACTATCTTCTGTTGATACTGTGCATTTCAGTAGCATGGCACGAATACACTTTCACACTAACTCCTCTCTAGTGCGACACTGTTCGATAGAAGTGCCGTCTGTGTGCCGTTTAGTGCCTCAAGAAGCCGCTGTGACGGACCTTACCTTGCCGGTGAGCCGGTGGATTTCAGTTCGATAGAATATCAGGTTCTTCCTCATGAACTCGTAACTGCAAGAGATGAGATGACAAATGAATTTGGCATTGGGGGGGGGGGGAACCATCCCCTGTTTGGGAACATTATTGTTTTCAGATTTTACCCAAACATGTGTATATGATTGTGGTATCTGTTGTACTAGGATGGAAAGTGTCAGTCCTACCTGGCCTTGATAATGGAGTCCACCCACTCCCCACACTGCTCTTCTGAGTCACACTCGAATAGATACTTCCTCTCTGCTTCATCCAGAAATGCTGCAGAGAGAAACACACAAAGTGACTCAGAAATACATATCAGAAAATGCACAAACTGTAATATAAAGTCATAAGTAATGGATACGTGTTCGGTGTCAAGCAAACATATCAACAATGCATTTTGAATAGCATCAGCACAAACGTGAATCCACTTATTTACACTGACTTAGAGGATTTGAAAGCAGTCAGCGAGAGAGAAAGTGAGGGTGAGTCATGTGAAGGTAAGTAAACTCACCAATAGAGAAGCTCTGACTGTCCTCCCTCTCCACCCGACACTGCTCCAGCAGCAAAGCTCCAATTGGCTGACGAATACAAAGTTGTCTTTAGCAAGAAATGGTTTCACTTCCTCATGAGGAACAGGTAAGCCCATGAATACATAAAGGAAATGCTGTGGCAATAAATTAAGTATGGAGTATTATTCAACTGACCTCCTCCTCATCAGTTCTGAAGTAAAAGAGGAAGTTAACGACGAGTTTCACCAACCTCTTCTTTACAACTGTATAATAACCAAAGGGAAACCGAGATGAGATTCCACAACACAAGACTGTACACAGCTGGTGAATAACATGAACTTGAACCATCTTTGGTGGTGGCGGGTCCTACTAGCATTAGCTGTGTGCTGTCCACACTACATGAAACGGAAGTGGACGTGATGAGAGCTGAGTCGTGACAGTAATAAACCGTGTTACCTTCTCCTTTCTTGGGTCCTCGCATCCCCAGCTCGGCTGCCCTCTCTGAGGGCTGGCGGCTCAGGGACACCAGCTCCTTCTCGTTGAAACGCATCGCGGTCACTGACGCAGTAAAAGCAGGTTAAAGGGGATACTTTGGCTGCGGCCGAGCCATTCCCACCGACAACATACTAATGGAGGTAACAACGGTGAATACCCGTCGGTTTAACGTCGCTGTCTCGCTATCTTGTGTTCGTGAAGTGTGACGGAGTGTGTTTAGTCATTTCTGTATCAAGCAACTACAGTAGAGACGGACTTCTCCTTCATGCCACACACCGGACACACACACACCTTCCTCTCGGATTGGTAGTGACACTCCTCTGCAATAGTAACTTACGGTAGTCGGTGAGGGTCAAACTAGACGAACAGTGCGTTTACAAACCGTGAACGCTTACACGAGGCAGCCTGTTTTAGTGACAATAAAATGTCATGTTTACTTTACTGTTATGACAAACATGTAATTAACTGCATGGATGAATAGATTCGTTAAAATTACAATAAATTATTAAGGCAAATAATTTAAAACATATTTGAAACATAAAAATAATTGTATGATTTTATGTATCTAGGATGTATGTGTATGTATGTATGTATGTATGTATGAGCAATTAAATGTAGATTTACTGTAGATTCTCAACTGAATTTAAACAACATAAACAGATGAAACATTCAAACTTCAGATATATGTAAACGGAGGAATTGTAGTAAGTAAAGCTACTCATGTACAATATTTATGTATGTGGTTTAATACAAGTTTCAGTTGAGCTATGTACAACCCTAGAAACTAGTGGGAAATGCAAGAAAATATTCAAAGTCAGAGAGGAAGTCTGAGAGGAAAGGAGTGGAGTGCAAATAGGCATTAATGAAGAGTAGGCCATATGAGACTAATCAGATCTACTTTCTATTTTGTTTTTGGACTTGTTTGGGGTTTCGCTTGGATAGTTTATTTGAGAGGCCATGATATAATAAAAAATGTTGTGCATGGGTCAAAAAAGTACCATAGACCATCAGATACAGCCGCAGCAAGAGCCCTTATGTGGCTTTATTTAGTCATTCTCAACTATATTGATAAAGAGCTGTTTGTGGTGGCTGTCTTATTGATGCAGAAACAAGATTTAAGACACGGTGGAGTCTCGAGAAAAAATACGGCCCATGATTATCTTTATCAGGAAAGTCAATCCTACCCTCCCTCCAGTCCAGCAGGTGGCGGTAATGCACCCAAAGCGGTTTGCCAACCGCCAAAAGCCCGAGAAGAATCTACTTGCACATGCGCACTACAAACCTACTTCGGCATGATCCTAACGTTGTAGTGTCGGTGAGTGTTTTGAACAAACTAAACCTTTCAGTATCCCTTCATGTATAGTTATCGTTTTGTCATGTAACTAACACATTTATTAACATACATACATAGCTAGGTATGTTTATTTTGTCGTTTAACCGTTCAAATTACTTAAACTCTATCAACTATTAGCTGCTAACACCGTTAGCTTAGCCTAAGCCGTGTCGTATTGTATTGAGGAGTTAGCGTTGCGTTAACATACTGTAGTTCACTGGAGTTTGTAAAGATCACCAGGGTACGTTTGTTTTTGTAGCGTGATAACCCTCTCGTCTTAACTGGTGCAATTATATCTAAGTTATAAGGAAATATTTGGTTCTGTTAACTTTTGCTTTACTTCCCAGTATTTAGACCGATCCATTGCAAGGGAAGCTAGCATAAATAATCTCAGTCAAGAGGGGTCTGAGGAGTCATTGTGAAAAATGTGACCAATCGCCACCATGCATTTGTTTTTTACATGCCTTTTAAAATGAATGGTGCACTTACAATACAGAGTAATGTTAGCAGTCTTCTACAGTTTATTCATAAGTGGTGGTGTAACTCCACACATAGTATTGCACCACAATCCAGGTAAACGGTAAATAGTATTCTTTTTAGCAACATTGTGTGCTTTGTTTTTCTTCAGATACTCAGGAAGAATTTACTTGGGGCACCTGTCCAGTGCTGACTGGGTAAACACGTGTGTGTGTGTGTGTGTGTCTGGGTGATTAAGCTCAACACATTGCAAAGATGGATTTCCAGCATCGAGCAGGAGGGAAGACAGGGAGCGGTGGGGTGGCATCTGCCTCTGAGAGTAACCGTGACAGGCGAGAGCGGTTACGTCAGCTGGCCCTGGAGACAATCGACATCAACAAAGACCCCTACTTTATGAAAAATCATTTAGGATCGTACGAGTGCAAACTTTGCTTGACACTTCATAACAATGAGGTATGGAGGCACACAGTGACACTTTCCCAGTTTATGTTATCTGAACTTGGTGTTCATGCTTGTTTTCTGAGTATCTTGTTTGACAAACTGCTCTCTGCTTTACAGGGCAGCTACTTGGCTCACACACAAGGAAAGAAACATCAGACCAACTTGTAAGAGCACGGTGCAATTTATATGTTGTCTTTTATGTGACTGATTCATTCCACTTCACTTAACCATGGCTGACAAATTAATCAAACCACAGGTCCACATTACATTTACTGGGCTTGTGGTGGATCATCAGCTATGGTTGCTGTGAATTGACAGTACAACAACCCATTTTGTCCAGTGAGTTGATTAGCAATTATAAAACTATATAACGTGTTTGTTTCAGAGCGCGGAGAGCAGCCAAAGAGGCAAAAGAAGCTCCTGCTCAGCCAGCACCAGCCAAAGTGAAAGTTGAGGTCAAAAAGTTTGTGAAAATTGGCCGACCAGGATACAAAGGTAAGCTGGCTGCGTGGTTATGAATCAGTGCATTCATTATTTACTTTATGCTGTTGGAGGTTTCGCTGTAAATGTATTGCATTTTAACCTATGGTCCATGTCTTTTTCTTCTTTATAGTAACCAAACAGAGGGATTCAGAGACTGGACAGCAGTCCTTACTTTTCCAGGTTAGTGTGTTTGGCGGGAATCCTTTTGTATGAAAGGAGTTTTTAATTTTAGAAAGATTCTGAAACGAGTAAATCAACATTAAAGCTCCCCTTAAGACAGATGCTTAAAAGTTATTCAGTTAGCTTAAGCAGTTACTTTTGTTAGGCTTTAGAGTGTAGTCTTGTTTCACCACTGACAGCTGAAGCAACTGTAAACAGATATTGTCCAGCTTCTCAATACCCGCTGACCCATGGCTGGCTTTATCCTGTACTTCTAAGAAACTGACCTTTTCTCAGTCAAAAGCAGCTGTCGAATACAGCGCCACATGCTGAAGTCGGTACTCGCCGCCTTCTTTTTTTGTGCATATTTTCTTTATCGAGGAGCTTTCAAGCTTGTGATTTACAGCAGAGTAGATGTTGTTTTTGTTTTTTATTCTACATAGTTTGTGTCAAACCTAAAATCAAAGCTTAATGCAACACTTATTTCTTGTTGGCCATTTCATACCGGGGACAAAATAAGAAAATGGGGAATATTTGTTGACTTTTTTTGCATTCAAACCTTTCACACCAATGCCGACAAATATTTGCATTTGGTGCATTCCACCAAAAATTGAACTTCGTTCTGTCACACAATCCTCAATTAATAAGTTGTTTTTACTTTATTAAACCCATATCCAACTCTACAAACTGGACACTTGTTATTACAAGTGTGCAAGACTGTGTAGAAGAGTTACAATGTGTTACTATTTTCTATGTGTGGCGGCAAAGCATGTTTTTGTAACAAGTGTAAATGCTGAGCTTCATTGCACTGGTTATTATTCTACCTAAATCATATGTAGTGTATGTGTTTATTATTATGTAATACATGGATTTAATGCAAGGCTTAATAGTCCTTTTATAATGGTCGGCTTATTAGAATACCTCCGAGGATCCGTGGATTTAATGTTGACATTATTAATAATAACTTACAGAAACATTGCAAAAGCTCTCAGTCCTCTGTAATTGTCTCAGCCCAAAAGTCAAAATGTATGGAAAAAAGATGTAATCATTTCCAAATGTATTGGCTACTTTACACAGCGACTACATGTCATTTCTGAGACGTAGAATGTCCATAGCATACGTTAAAACATAAAGATTCTAAAGACAACGTTACACTTAGGAATGATTGGTTCTGAATGACTCTCATACTAGACAAAGAAGTATGTCTTCCAACCTTTTGTAGGCTGCTACTACTGTAGGCCAGTTCAACTGCTACACTTCCCCAGTTGTGTTCATGTCCGTTGTCTTTATAATCTTTATTTTATTTATCGAAGAGGACACTATTTTTGTCACATCGACGGCCGAGAAAATCTATTGATCGCGTGAAAAGTATTTTGTTTTATTGGTCGGCTCGTTTTTTTTATTGGCATCCGAAATCCACTTTCTCTGTTCATCAGATCGACTACCCGGAGATCGCTGAAGGAATTGGACCCCGACATCGTTTCATGTCCGCTTACGAACAGCGCATCGAGCCTCCTGATCGTCGCTGGCAGTACCTGCTTCTGGCTGCTGAACCATACGAGACTATTGCCTTTAAGGTGAGTGGAAGCTGCACCTCTACTACGCTCTTATAATATTGTTATTCTTGCTGTGACACAACATCTTTGCTTTTTTAGGTCCCCAGTAGAGAAATTGATAAAGCAGAAAACCGCTTCTGGACCCACTGGAACAGGGAAACTAAACAGGTATTGATCAGCTGATTAACATTTGTTACCACAAAGCTATTTGATGGGAGGAATGTGGAAACGTGTGCTTTAACTGCTCTTCCGTGTTATCTTTCCTCCCAGTTCTTCCTACAGTTCCACTTCAAAATGGAGAAAGCTGTTCCCCAGTCCAGTGGACCCCCACCTCCTGCAGGTGTGAAGCGCCCCCCTCCTCTCATGAGTGGAGTTGGACATCGCCCACCAAATGAGTCTATGCCCCCTCCCCCGCCAGGAGGGATGCCCCCTCTCCCACCTGGCGCTCCGGGAACCCCCCATATGCCTCCTCAGATGCCCATGCCTCCCATGCCAATGAGGCCCCCTCCTCCTGAGGGCCTTATGTCTAATAACTGATCCCCTACCAGTGAAACACTTTCATGGTTTTTAATGATGTTTAAAGTCTACATTTAGTAGATTTCTATACATTTATTTGGTTTATGTTTGTATGACCACACTGTTTTGTATAAATGCTTATTTTCTGGATTTGGAGCTATGATTGAAAATAGATCATCATAGAGGATTCTGTTTTTGTAATTAAATTCTTTGGAAAAAAGCATTTGCCTCTCAAAGCCTGTTGTTAGAAAGACGTCACAGAAAGATGAATTGAATGGGTGAATGGGTCATAGCAGAAGAGAAGAGTTCCTGAAATATCGAGATAGAAGTTGCAGATCAGGATAAAACACCTTTTAACTGAAGCAGCTCTCAGAGGGAACAACGGGCTAAGTGGGTCAAATTAGTCACAACCCGCAACCTCGATCTTTAGTTTGCCATGTTCAATACCTTCTAGTTACATAAGATTTACAACTAACTGCAGTTTATTAAAGATGTAGACTTTTCAAAACTAAAGGGAATCAAACGATCACATAGAGATTTAAGATGAAACCGGCAGCAGATTAAATGAAATGAAAATGCAAACGTCTTTACAGGTAACTCAGCGTTTCATTACTCAGAATCACATCCGTTATGCAAAGCAGCAACATTATTTTGAGTCTCAGTGGTGGGATTTGACAGATTTGACAGAGGATATCTATTATTGAATTCAACATTACCACCTTTCACAAATGTTAAATCAATTCTGGTGAAAATGGATTAGAAAATAAATTGCCATTTGCTACAGTAGAAAGAATCAAACTCATTCCTTATGAGTCTTTTTCTTCTCTTTCTTTTCCTCCAGCTTTTGATTCTTCTCAAACTCTGCCTCCTCCTTTCCTTCATCCTCATCTTCCTCATCTGCTGCTGCTTCAGGTTCCTCCTTTTTCTCTTTGATTTCTTCGTCCTTGGCTTTTCTGGCTCTCCTTTCCTTAAATTTCCCTTCTCTCTGTTTCATGAGTTTTTTGTCCGGCGTTGGCTTATTTCTGAGACCTCTTGATGCTCGTGCTGTCGCTCCTCGCTTTGACTTTTCTATTTTGACTTGTTCATCATCGTCGTCGTCCTCATCCTCTTCATCATCAAGGTCTGGCAGCCACCATAACATGACCTCCCAAAGACTTGTCTCAGGCTGAGGGGGGAGAACACATGGCGTAGTTGACACTGTGGTACATGTACATCTGTTTATCCTCATGTCGAAGGATAAACGTGTCAAATAGAATCCAAGTTATTTGTTACTGTCCTTACTGGTGGTTGTCTCCTGTGTTGGATTTTGCCCGTCCGTCTCACTGTCAGTTCAACTTCCTCTTCCTCTGCTGCCCCTCGACCACGCAGGGTTTCTGGTTTTTTTTTTGAAAAGAGACCACTTAGTCACAGCAGGCATGTCATTTTGTAACAGTGGTTCTACTTTTAGTTTACTTGCCATGAAGCCTCTGAAAGCCTGAGGTGAGCACCAGGATGGTAATGGCCACAAACAGACAGCGGTTGAGGGTGACATTCTCCCACGGTGTTTCAATCTGGGTCAAGTTTTGGATGGACGAGGCTTTACGTAAGGCTGTTGACGGAAATGAAAGAAAGAGGAGGAAAAGCTTTTATTGTAATCCAGTAAAGTAAACACTGAAAGCTGACAGGGGCTGAGGAGAAAGATGGGAATGACTCACTTGTTCTGGGGGAGCTGGGCTCCCTGGGTAAAATCTTGGGTTCTGCTCTAGGTTGCTGTGAAAACTGAGACTTTTCCTGTTGGAGAAGAACATGTAGCTCAGAATAAAAGACGTATTAGGGATTTGAACACTGTAAAAAAAATTGTTCATGTTGGCTGTTTTCCAACTAACCTCTCTGACTTTTCTTGGAGCATACATTTCTGAAACAGACAGATGGACATGTACTGAGGGGTAAACGACAACAAACAACCTTTCCCTCAGATTTATTTATCCCCATTGATTTGATTTGTATTCAAACTTTACTGTTGGCTGACATTAAAACCTCTTATACACATAAAATACAAGTCTACTATTCCACTAGTGACTGTGAGGCTGTGCATTGAGCTACATGCTAACATCAACCATGCTAAGATAATGTTTACCACGTTCAACTTCTTGGTGTGTTAGCATGTGTAACATTTACTAATACGCACCAAACACAGTACAGCTGAGGCCCCCTGGAATTTCAATACTTTTACAGGTATTTTGTCATAAATGTAATTATTGGACAATTCAATTATTGGGCAAATTAAATTAACACTTGACAAAAACTCTAATTCATTAGCATTCATCGTCTGGGGACCTTGAAAGACTGGACAAAATGGTTTCAATCTGGACCGAAGCGCTGGCAAATAAACAGACCACATGGTCTTTTTAGACATTTTAGAGCTATGCCTCACAAGCAGCACTTTGTGTTTGTTTGTAGAGAGTGAGTCTTATTACACCCACCATCCATTCAGCATTATCGCTGTGTTGCATTTGGCAAGGGGTCATATTACAGTGGCTCCCTGTGCTGCTGTTCCCAAGTATTTATAGAGTTGTACAATATATGTACAAAGGCTATTATGTGCAGGCATTACAGATTGTGTGTGTGTGTGTGTGTGTGTGTGTGTGTGTGTCGCCACCTGGTCTGAGGATCTGTCGAACAGGCTTCTGTGGGGGAGGATCTGCTCTTGGTGGCCTTAACTCCTCTTCAAATGTCTCATAGCTCTCTTCCATCTCTTCCCTGAGAGAAAGAGAGGGAAGAAGATGGATGTGGCTCAAAACTGAGTTTGTTTAAAAGTGAGTCAGCAGATTTAGACATATCCATATTACACAAAGCTTCGCATATGAGCCTGGCTGTTGTCAGAGGCCAGCTCAGCCTATGGATTGTTATTTCTTTTTAGAAATGCTCTTTTTGTGCCACCTATTACATCCCAGAAACAAGATGTTTCGCTGGACCACAATGTATATGTCTATTCTTCACTTTGTCAAAGTTACTTCCGTTTTCTCATCAGCGTTTCACATTGGCGTCACAAAATGATAAGAAATAAAAGGTCAACTTCTCTAGTTTATGAATAAACTTAATGCAGTTTCTTGACCTTCACATTTACAGATGAAAGCTGAGGCCCTTATGTCTTCCATGACATTTCTACCCGGACATTGAGCTAATGTCTTAGCAGCCCTATAAATAGATGACGCAAAGCCACTGGAGAGACTGATGGATACAAACTGAATATAAGGGCCGATGTTACCGTTACACCCCTGGCTAGCCTTTCCCCTGTGATGAAGCCTGACCTTTGGCCCTGATTGAAATAAGGACCTACCTGTCTCGACATTTGGGGTCCCCCCGGGCAGCGTTGGCAAACCTTTGTCACAAAGCCTGTTGTTCCTGGGCAGAGATGGCAGCAGAGTCAGGCTCTGTACTGTCTGACAGCCAAGCACAGGTGCCGGAGAATGAAAAAACAAAAAAGAATTGAGTGTCAGTCAGAGGCGTTGACGGAGGGAGGGTTGACATTAACATGTGCCATACAGCTGTCGAATCCCAAGAGAGGGCTGACAGTTGAGGAAGAAAGCCAAACCATACACCAAGTTTTGGAAAACTCTGAGCCATATGGAAAAAATCGTATACAAATCTTATTCGGTGTCAATCCCACATAGTTTGAGCAACTAGGGCAACACCCCTAATAAGAAAAACTGAAAAACTGGTTTTGTACTTAGAAAACAGCTAGAAGAAACAATTAAGAGTTGTGTATGGTTGTGATTATATTTTAAGACGCTTTCCCACCTTTTGTCTCCTTTTTGGACATTATTTTGAATTTCATAAGTCACCAGCAGAGGGCGCCACTGTACTTGTAAGACAGGGTTTCAGGCTGCTTTGCTCCACAAATGAAGTCTGTAGTCTGTTAAACAGACTAGCAGAAGCACTGACACTTTTAATGAGCTGACCATCAGCTGCAGCCTCTACATCAAACACATATGACACATTTGTCAAATTATCCTCTTTATGTTTCCTTTGTACATTATTGCAGAAGTGCATTATTATTCTCATACTGTGTGTGTGTGTGTGTGTGTGTGTGTGTGTGTGTGTGTGTGTGTGT